CAAATAAATAAATAAAATCTTTTAATAAATAAATAAATAAAATCTTAAAAAAAAAAAAAGATGTGAACATTGAGATTCTGAGAAGATGGTGTCCCAGAAGATCACGCAGCTGGTGTGTGGAGGCCAGGATGGGGCTGGGTCTGTCTAATAATAAATAAGATTATAGACTCTTAATTAAATGTGTACATGTAATTAAAATGTGTGCACGCATGCACACACATACATGTATATAACTTTTGCTGTTTATTAAAGAATTCGGGAATAAAACAGAAGGAGCAACTATCAGCCAGAAACTGGGCAACAACCATGCCCCAGGCCTTGATTGCCAGGTTTATGAATTCTCTTCTCTATCTGAGTATAACCCATAGCTTTCCAGGACTGGTTTTGGGATCCACAGAGGAAGGAGGCTCTTGTTCTCACAATTAAACTTGGAAAGGGCAGTGATACACATTTGCAAAAACAACTGAAGCATATGTTCTAAAGGGGAGAAGTCAGTGTAACTGAGGCAGGTCGAATACACATTTTCAGAATGGGAAGAATCATGGTAAACAGGTAAATCCTACGTCTCAAAGAGGTTCACGCTTACTTTTGAAAAGAAATAGGGTCAAGGTTTTCCTTCAAGAGGATGAATCCTGAACCCTTCCTCTTTGCTAAACAGAGGTGGTGAGAGTGGCGCGAGATGACAGGAGGCGTGCGGAGGCTCTTGCTGAATGGCAGCACTAGTTAGCAGCCTTGTCATGGCTATTACTCGGGGTCTGCACTAAAGGGTCAGGGATGGTCGTGTTTCCCGTGTGGGTGACCGGGAGGAGAATGGTGCATTTGCAGAAGGGAGGCAGCCGGAGGAGGAGCTGCGTGCATAGCCCTGGCTTGGGGGCCGGGCGCTCTCAGGTCCAGGCCATCGGCTCTTGTATCCTGAGCTGTCCATTGCCTCCAGCCAGGCTTCACACAGTGCCCGCCTGTCTGTGGCTTATAGTTGGGTCCCGAGAAGCATTCGAAGGGTATAGCACTTTGGGCACAGCTGCTCAGCCAACAGGTTTTGTCTCTGGCCACTCCCACTGCCCTCCCTGACTTCCTAGTGGACCCCCGTTCCAGCTGGTGGGCAGCTGGCTCTCACTAACGATCTTATTAAAGTTCCAGATGTGTGGCAAAAAAAATGTTAATAATAGCAAGGCCTGATATGAATTAAAAGGAGGGCTTGTAACTCAGAGGTAGAGAACTTTAATCTGCCTCTTTTCTTTGCCAGGGCTCCCAAGCCACAAGCTGAGCATGCTGGGCAATGGGTAATGGGTTTTCCCTGGTTCTCTTATGCACCCTAAGTCATCCTGGTAGAGTGCTCCTGTTAGCTCCCCTGGGTAGGAACCAGCCTCACTGATAGGTAAAATTTAGGTAATTTGATGATTCAGGTTGTAACATGAAACCTGCTAGAAAAGAAGATGTTAAAGACAACCTCTCCTTCTGCTCCCCTGTTGCTTGTACGAGATAGAGGAGGGGCCGACTTCGGAAAGCCATGTGAGGTAGTTCCAGAAGCTTCTCTGACTGCAGTGGGCTTGGGCCAGGATATTCTCTGATTCCAGGAATAGAGGAATGGCCAATGAGCTCTGAGATCCTTTAGCCATATTTTAACTTTAAGTTCACCTGGGGGGATAAATCCAGCTAGCTAACACATGCCCTCTCTTAGTTTGCTTTCAGAAGGGAATTCTGGTCCCAAGGGAGCTGGCAGACAGGCAGTTTGCTGTTAAGGATATTTTGGAACAGAAGTCCTGAGAAATGTGGCTGGGGTTATGGAGAAAAGTATCCCACTTCCCATCCTCACCTCAGGGGTGAGGGGGGCCGGGGCCGCACCTCCACCTTCAGATCCAGCCCTTCTCTCCAGAGGAGGAGAACCCTCACCCACCGTGGTGAAGAAAAGGATGGCCAGGGCTTCAGCCCTTTTCGCTGTCCATGTCTGCATTCCAGTTAGATGCCCCTGCTGTGTTTTGCATCCCGATTAGGAAGAATCACTGTTGAAATTGACTCTGTGCTTCCTAGGAACTTGCCAGCTGTGGATGGAGTAAGAAGGAGAAACATAGTCTCGCCCCCAACGTTGTGGCCTTTACCCGGAGGTTTAACCAGGTAAGCGGTGTGCCTGAGCAGGTAGCAATCTCGTCCCCTGTCGGCTGGGCACCCTGCCAGGGTTCAATCCCAGGCACCTGGCCCAGGTCCAAACCTCTCTTCCTGAACCACCCCGCCCATCAGTCCTTTTGCCTGCACAGTCCTTTTTCACAGCAGGTGGAACTGAACACATCTTTCCTGGGTTTAAATCACTTCATGGGCTTCCAATTTCACCCAAGCTAAGGCTGGAGCCCCTTAATTGCCCTGCAAGGTCCTGCACAGTGGGTCTGGTTTCTGTCCACCCCTCTCGCCCCATCTCTTGTCCCTTCCCCTGTTCCACGGGCTTTAGCCATTCTGGTCAGCCTTCTTTCTGTTCCCTGATGCACCATATCTCTGTCCCGTCAGGCCCCCAGATGTGCTGTACTCTCAGCTCAGAATTCTTCTTCCCTGTTCAGCTCCCAGTCTGATCAGCCTGAATGTCACTTCTGTGGGGAGCTTTCCATGAATCCCCAGCCTGTGTGAGGTCTTCGCTGTCAGACATTCCCTCACTGCACCCTGTGCTTCTGTCTCCATGTGGCCCTTTGCTCATCTGTGCTCACTCTGTAGAACTCTTCTGCCTTCACCTTCCACGCCAGTCTGCGGGCTCTGTCTCGTTCACCACTGCACCTCCCGCCACCTTGCGTGGTGTCAGGTGTACAATAGACCCTCAGTAAATATATGTGGAATGAATGAATGAGATGCTCAGAAAACACTCGTTGAATTGAATTTCTTCGAGGGCCTGATGGCCAGGCCACTAGCCTCATACATATTACTGCACACTGACTTGCTCCAACCAGAACCTTTGCTCCAGGTATGAAGATTTGCACCCCCACTTAAGGGAAGGATGATGGGGGCTTGGGCCAGCTAAGGGCAGTGGGCTTCTGGCTTCTTAGCCGATCTGCCAGAATGTGATCTTTGCTGGTAAGCTACCCTGTAAGACCCCCTTTGGGTTGGCCAAACCCCCAAATGGTGCTATTGACAGCTTATCTTCTTTATTCTTGTTTTTCTGGTTTCAAATGAGGATAGTGGATTAGAGATTGTGTAGTGTGCATGACTGGACCTCGGGGTGATGGGGCCTGGGTTTCCTTTGGGCCGTCCCTGAAGCTGGGCCTCCCTGCTCAGAAATGCCAGGCCCTATGCATCACCACTGCCCAGCCCTCCCCAGGCTTCCCCAGCCTCGGCTAGCACCCAAGGATGAGGAGAGCCTCAGAGAGGAACCAGCTTTCCATCTGAGGATCAAGACTGGAGTTAGCATTATTGTTGTTATAATAGGAACTAAGAAGGGTCTAGATGCACCCGGAGTAGGGGCTGTATATACTTGTTTGTTTTGAAAAGAGAAGTTCTGAAGCCTTTTGTTTCTTTTTTCTTTCTTTTCAAAAATCTCCCTTTTCAACCAAGCTTAGGCTTTAAAAAATAAAACAGATGTGTACATGCTATCAGAGGATTCATAGTTTCTTTCGCAAAACTATTTGACTGGGAGCCAGCTCAGTCCCACCTCTGACCAGCCACAGAGCTCCCGGAGGAGGGCTGCTGGGCTCTCTGATGTAATCTGCCTTGCACGCGGAGGCCAGGTCAGCTTGGCAAAGGGTGGTGCAGCTTGTTCTGCGAATGATTGCATTGTGTCCAGATCAGACCAAGTGGGTGAAGTGAGCCAGAATTGAAGGTGCATTTTCCCAAACAGAACGCTTTGAGAAATGGTCTTACTGCCAGCCTGTCAGCTATTCAGAGTGAGCGGCTTCTGGACACAGCCCTCGTAGCTCTATTTTGAAAACTGGCCACCAGCCAGCTCTCGTCAGCCACTGGGGCTGCTTTCTCTGAGATGAACTGATTGGCATCCCTTCCTGGCAGACTTTTTTATGTGAGAACAGGGTTCGCCATCAGACTCTCGATAAGGAAAGCAGGTCAGTTACCTTTCTGAGCCTCAGTTTCCTTATCTGTAAGTGGGAATAATAATATGACTCACCTTGCAGAGTTGGTGTGGAGATTCAGTGAAATGGTATATGAAGAACTCTTAGCGCAGTGTCTGCCATGTAGTAAACATCCAACATTTTGGGGGAAAATAAGAGGGAACATGAAGATCAGCTGATTGGAAAGAGGTTGCTAGCAGATTTGAAGCTTCTTGTGGCCAAACCAGAAACCCAGTGGCCAGTGTCCTGGTCAGACTTGGTGGGCTTGCCTGCTCCTCTGTGGGATCTGAGTCCCTTGGGATTTGTTCATATTCCTCATAGAGGGATGGAAGGAGCCAGCCAAGTTCACTGAGTGTGTGTTATGGGCCAGGCTTGTATCTCAGCACCAAGGAGTTCACCGTAGAACACAGAAGTGCTCAGCCTTTTTTGGATCATGTGTTCTTTTGAGAATTTAGCTATATATACATATATATGAACCTGTCCCAGTGGAAGAAGAGTAATTTCTCTGACAAAATGCTACTGGAACAATTGGAACATTTTTTATGTATGTAAAAAAATGGACCTAGACACAGACAATAGATCTTTCATAAAAATTAACTCAGAATGGATCATAAACCTAAATGTAGAAGACAAAACTATAAAACTTTTAGGAGAAAACGTGGAAGAAAATCTACACGATCTTTGGTGATGAGTTATTAGATGTAACACCAAAAACACAATCCGTGAAAGAAAAAACTGATAAGTTGGACTTCATTAAAATTAGAAATTTCTACTCTGCAAAAGATGCTGGTAAGAAAATTAAAAGATGAAACACAGCCTGGGGAAATACTTGCAAAACACATATCTGATATAAGAATTGTATCCAAAATAGACTCTTAAAACTCAACAGTAAGAAAACAGCTCAATTAAAAAATGGGCAAGGGCGCCTGGGTGGCTCAGTTGGTTAAGCGACTGCCTTCGGCTCAGGTCATGATCCTGGAGTCCCGGGATTGAGTCCCACATCGGGCTCCCGGCTCAGCAGGGAGCCTGCTTCTCCCTCTGACCCTCCCCCCTCTCATGTGCGCTCTCTCTCTCAAATAAATAAAATCTTTAAAAAAAAAAAATGGGCAAAATATCTAGACACCTCACCAAGGAAGTACAAATAGCAATAAAGATGAAAAGATGCTCAACATCATTTGTCACTGGGGAAATGCAAAACACTGTGCACCTGTTAGAATGGGTAAAATCAAACAAACAATGATGGTACCAGGTGCAACTATCTGGGGCAACATAAACTCTCATTCATTGCTGGTGGAAATGCAAAATGGTACAGTCCAGCAGTTACACTCCTAGATATTTATCCAGCTTCTTTGAAATCTTATGTCTACACATAAACACACACGTGCACACGCTCACGTTTATAGCAGCTTTATTCAGCATTGTCAAATACTGAAAGTAACTAAGATGTCCTTCAATAGGTGAATGGATAGACAAATTGGTAAATCCATACAGTGGAAGAGTATTCATCAATAAAAAAAAAAAGAATAAGCCCTCAAACCATATAAAGACATGGATGAATCTTTTTTTTTTTTTTAAGATTTATTTATTTGACAGAGAGAGACACAGCGAGAGAGGAAACACAAGCAGGGGGAGTGGGAGAGGGAGAAGCAGGCTTCCCACGGAGCAGGGATCCCGATGCGGGGCTCGATCCCAGGACCCTGAGATCATGACCTGAGCCGAAGGCAGACGCTTAACGACTGAGCCACCCAGGCGCCCCGACATGGATGAATCTTAAATGCTTATTACTAAGTGAAAGAAACCAGTCTGAAAAAGTGACATATGTATGATTACCTCCACCTTCCCCCATCCTTCCCCCACCCCTAGCTTTTTAAAAACATTCTGGGGAATGTAAAAACATTTTTGTAAAAGGTGAAACTACAGAGATGATAAACAGATCCATCAGTGGTTGCCAGAGGTTTAAGAAGGGGAGAGTGTTAAGTAGGTGAAGCACAGAGGATTTCTTAGGGTGGTGAAACTATTCTGTATGATGCTGTATGATACACAGTGTCATTGGATACATGACACTATGCATTTGTGAAAACCCATAGAACTTTACAGCACCAAGAGCAAACTTTAGTATATGCGAATTTAAAAAATGTATTGCAGAAATAAAGGAATCCTAGAGTGGAATGCAGAACATAACCAAAAAATCCAAACGAGTTATAAATGTGTGAACAACATCACTGAGGTAGGTGAGGGGAAAAGGTGCTGACCTAAGTAACTTTGGAAATGAATGGAACCTGTAAGACTAAAGACAAAAGGAACTGTATATATGCTCTGTACTCTAGTTGATGTAGTTGCTTCCCTGGGGGATTGGGTAACAATTCTGAAGCCATTATACATGAATACTGGAATTAAACAATTAAGGAAAAGGATGGCAGATGATAGGACCCAGGTTTTTCACTGTTGGAGTGGAAAGTTACAGACAAGCAAGGGTAGAAGGCTAAGACATCGATATGAACTCATATTTATTTTGATACAGATACATACGGATGGTTACATATAGAAATATTTATAGATACGTATATGCACATGTGTTAGTACACACACACACACACACACACACACACACGCATGCATTACCTTGCTACCAGCCAAGACGACATAGAAACAGTGACAGCCATGTAGTAATAAGCACACCTGGCACCCAAATCTTGGTTTCTAATACCATTCTCTAATCAAAGGACCCAAGGCTCCTTGGAGAAATGGCTGGTTTAATACTGGGGCAGTAGCATCTTGATGAGCCTGTAGTGGTACCAGAAAATAAGGAAATGCTTAAACCAACCAACCAACCAAAACAATGCTAGGGGTAGGTCAAAGGAACACAAGAGCCAACTGAAAGAGCTTTCAGTGGCCAAAGAGCAATTTAAGCAACAAAATAACCCAAAGTATAAAATATACTTTGGTTATAACCCAAAGTATAAAATAAATATCCATGAGTCCTTTCTGATATAAATAAATGATTGCAAAAATAAATGGGGAAGAATAGACAAACTTCCTATGTAATAATTCCAACAGCTCACTTCCTTCCATAGCGACTTCTTTTCAAAGTCTGAGGTGATACCATTATTTATGTAACCAGTTTCCTATTGATGGGCATTTTTTCCCCTATTCTTTTTCTTTATAAAACAGTGCTTTGTTGAATCCTTGTAGATGAGTTCCTCCAAATTTCTGTGTTTTCATAAGATAAAAATTCTAGGGAGAATGTAAGTTTAACATCTTGAAAGGTATATTTAAGTTGCTCTTCCAAATGGTCCTATGAATTTGTACCCCCCCGCAAGTAGTGTATAAGAGTACCAATTTCTCTACATTCTTGGTACAGTATATGGCCCACAAAGGGTTAATGTATTTTCTTTACTACACAAAGAACTTTTACTTATCAATAGGAAGGGGACAGATGTCCCATTAGAAAGATGGGTAAGAAAAAAAAAAAAAAAGAAAGATGGGTAAGGGCCTGGGGAGGTAATTCACAAGGCAGAGAGTACAAATGGCCCATAAATATTTGTAACAAAAAACTGAAAAAAAAGTACAAAAAAGATGTTAATTGAATAGTTATGAAAGAAATGCAAAATAGAAACAATGAGACATTATTTTGTCCATTAGGTTAGTTAAAAAAAGAATTGTAATAACTGGTACTTGCCAGTGCATGAAGACATGGATCAATTCAAACTTGTTGATGGATAAACAAATAGACCTTTCGGAGGCCAATTTTTTAATATATACTTTTGAAAAAACAGTACACATACTTTTATTCATTCCACCTTACTGGAATTTATTCTAAGACCTTAATTAAAAATGAATAAATATATATGTATAAAGGTGCTCACCACGGCATTGTTTAGTACAACAAAGTAATTAGAAATAAGTTATCCAACGATAGGAGGTCACTCAATGATGGTACATCCCTAAGATGGAATATTTGGCAGCTGCTAAACGTTATGTTGTAGAGGAATATTTAGTCACTTATAAAAATTCTTGTGATAATATGATGAATATATACCAATTTAGTTGAAAAAGACAGATGTATGTTCTGTGTATGGTAGAGTAGAAGGACAGAAACCACAATGTCTGTCATGGTGGTCTGTATACGAGAATGAGGGTGCAAATGATTTCTGCCTTTTGTGCCTATCTCTGTGTCCCTTGTTTTCTGCATTAAGCTTCTCTTAAATTTTGTAGTTAGAAAAGAGAATTAAAAATGTTTGAAACTTTGCTGATTCTACCTGTGTAATGTCTTTCTTATCTGCCCCTTCTCTCCATCTCCTTCAGCATGGCCCTAGCTCAGGCCTCCCGCCTGTCACTTGGACCACTGCATCAGCTTCCTGATGGGTGTCCCCGCCCCTACAGAAAGCTCTGTCACTTCTCTGCTCGGAAACCTCTGGAAGTCTCCCCATGTAGAATAGCACCTAAGGACCTTCTTGTCACCTTGGTGTTCCAGACCCCCACCATCTGGCCTTCAGTGCCCTTCCCAGCTTTGATTCCCCCTCTGCCCTGATCCCACAGAGCACCTGCAACACCAGACCCGTCGGTTCGCTCAGCCCTCCCCAGTCGTGGTGTATACTGCCATATCCCAATCCTGTCTTTACCTGCTGGAAGTCTACCCATTTTTCAAGGTTTACCTCTTCCAGTGGGCCTTCCTCTGTCATTACCCGCCCCGTTCCAGTCTGCTTCGGTTGAACTTCTTTCATGTCCAGGATTGCCACGTGATTTCTAGGGGATCCTGCCTCCTCCTTTGGTCACCTCCGTATCAGGCAAGGGCTGATAGGGTCTGGACTCACAGTGCCCAGAGCCTGCACACAGAACAGGCTGCATGAAAGTCTGTTGAATTGAACTGACCCGGAGTAGCCTCTGCACACTGTGTGCTGGAGATCATTATCAACTCTGCCATGCTCCATAATTATGCCTTAAATATGTGTGATTTTTTGGCACGCAGGAATCTATTAAATTATACATATAAACTATCACACTTGTTTATATGGCATAAAAATGTGCATGTATTAAAATATGAGGTTTATGGGCATATCATTTGGTGTCCAGAAAATCTTTCTTCCATAACTGGCTAGTAAACGATTGAGTCTGAACTTAATTTTAGGCAATTCCTTGGAAAAAATGATTCTATGGAAACCCAGGCATGTCCTGGAGGCAACCATAGATAATTACGCGGAAAAAACTTTTTCTATAATATTCCTGCTTAACATAAAAAGCAAATTTTTGATTCTCGGTTACTCTTTCCTTGTTTTCTCATTGAAAAGTGACTATTTCAGGAAAGGGAAAAAATTTGGTTGCAGCAGTAAAGGTGCTTTGTTAACTCTGGAATATCCCTATTTTTCTTTGTATTTTAGATGCCTTTGCCTCCCTCCCTTTCAACTCCACACATCCCTGTACTCTCCTCAGCCGTCTCCCTCTCTCTCTCTCGGCTGTGCTGTCGTTCCATCCGTGGGCATCTGTGTGTCACACAGCACTGTTGTTACAGTAGCAAGACATAAACAAGAAAGTAACCACTTCCCAGACTTTCTTGGCACGCAGCCCCTTCTGTGTTGTACTGAGGTGTCATGTGGGTCAACTCTACCCTGGTAGATAACTTGCCTGTTGCCAGAAGGATTCAGGGGCTCGGGGATGTTGATTTCTGTGAGAGGTCAAGCCTGAATAATGTTTTGTTTTTTTTTTAAGCATGAATAATGTTCTGAACCCAAAGTACCAACATGTCCTTTCGGCATAAGTGGTCTCTAGAAAAACATGCCCCTTCACCTGCATTGCTTTATGGAACTTTGAAAGACACTTTCATATCATATAAATTATTGGGTGAACCTCTCCTAGAAAATTAAATTTGTTACAATTGTGCAAATATTGGTGAATCCTACTTACTTGAGGTCTGGCTGGGGGTATAGATCTCATGGTGGTACCGCCAGTGAACATATCTGTTTGGCCGTTTGTCCATCCATCCATCCAACCATCCATCCATCCATGGTTTTCCCACAACTGGGGGCCTTCTGAGCAGGAATCTGTCTATTCATCTCAAAATTTCCTGCCACAGCTTCAGAGAGATTCATATGTTGTGGAGGCCCAGTAACTCCCCCGGATAGGGATACTTGTCTCTCTTGGCACCACTGTGTGTGTTCCAGAGGAGGTGCTGAAGGAGGGACCCGTTTGCAGGGCTGGGTGTCGTAAAGGAACCCTCAACCACCTGCAACCCCAGGCTGTGCTCATCCAGCTTCCTGACCTCTGGGAAATCCCTGTCTATGGTGGGCGAGGGCGACAAGGGTGGTCCAGTATTTAACCACTTCTCGTGTGTGTGTGTGTGTGTGTGTGTATTTGACTCTACAGGTCAGTTTTTGGGTTGTTCGAGAAATTCTAACAGCACAGACTTTAAAAATAAGGGCAGAAATCCTGAGCCATTTTGTGAAAATAGCCAAGGTAAGCTCTTTATTATTATTTTTTCCTCCCTCCCTCCCTTCCTTTTTGCAGAATGTGTTTCCTCAGTACTTTGAGAGCTACTTTGCTCTGGGCATGCTGGGCTGGGTTCAAACAGAAGGCTCTGACCTGACTTCTGTAGGCTGTAAGACCGGCCTAGGTGCCCACTCAGGCTCCCCGCCCCTGTGCACGCACGGTGGTGTGGCCATCTACCCGTTATTATGGCAGCCAACCATTCTCTTTAGCTGGCTGTTCAGACTCTCTATGAGGCCGTGGGGGCTCCCTCTAGGGTCCATTCATCCTCTTCCTTCAGATTCAGCCAGTACTGGGGCTTGATGGGCTACGAGCTACCATCCCATCCTGCAGTTCTGTCCGCAGTCAGCAGAGCTCACCCCACCTCCATCCTGAGCTTCAGGCCTAAGCCCAGTGACCCTGCTGGTCCCCGTTCCCACCTCCTGCCCCCCCCAATAGGTTCTGTCCTTGCCAGTTGTTGAGCACCAGGCTTGCGTCTGTATCTCCCTTTCCCCTCCTCTTCCCTTAGGGCAGCCAGCCCAGGTAGTGATGCCCTATGGGCTCTCCTGGACCACTCTCCTCACCCTGTCAGCTCCTCTCCTTACGCTGCCGTGACCACGGGGCTTGCCTGCATCTGGGCAGCGCACTGCTGTTCTGTCTGGTTCGCTGTGTGCTGTGTGCACGTGTTGTGTTCCCACCCAGATCCTAGGCCCACTAAGCTTTACGGATGCCCTTATGAGCTGGCATCATAGCAACCACTCTACTGAAATGATCGTGTTTGGTGTTCACATTGTTATTCTCCCACTTCTAGAGGAGGAAGGGGAGGTTTAGAGAAGTGAGTGTCCCTGCCCAGGACCTTACAGCGAGTGAGCTGGAGCCTGTCTCTTGGCCTTCAGGGGAGCTGCTCTGCTGCCCCTCATGGGAAGGTTAAGGGCATCCATCCATAGGTATGTCAGGGGCAACAGACACTTTCACGTCGTGTGCATTCTGAAGTGCTTGGGACCATGCTGGGGCTGGGCTTGACGATGCTTGTTACTGTCAGTGAGTTCATGCTGGGCCACAAGAGAAAGCGGGATGGAGTTCCAGCCCTCCGGTGCTTTCAGGAAACGAGTTTGCGGTGCTTGTCCAAAGAATACAAAACAATCCCTCCCTAATCTCTGCCATCTTCCAACAGTGGCTCATCATATTGGCACGGTGCCCCAAGTGTGTTCTTGTGCGGGCCCCTCCTTCCTCTGGGCCTTGGTTTCCCTTCTACAAAATGAGAGGGGTGGATTAGGGGATCACCCAGAGGACCTTCAGCTCTAAAAGAAATTGTGTGACAGGCATAGCAATTCAGATACGTAGGATGAAATTCAGTCCTCTCCGAGAATCTATTATTACACACAGGAAACAATTAGAGATTGTTACAAGATGTATGAAAGGAAGCATTAACTTGTGTGGTAAAGGAGAAATCTCTGAGTAGGAACAGAGCCGCGAGGACTAGGTATAAGGGCTTTTTATTTATTCATTCATTTCACTAGGCCCTACTGTGTGTTGTATGAGGCCCTAGGGATATGATGGCAGATACAGCTTCACCCCTGCTCTCAGGGAACACATGGTCCAGGGCGAGAGAGAAGCAGGTAAAAGCGACTAGAGTCCAGTGTGCTAAGGAGATGCACACACTGCTGTGGGAACACATAGACAGGGTCCCCAAGCTCCCTAGATTTGGGAACAGGTTCAGGAAAGACATACTAGAGGAAAGGGCATCTGAGCTTGGTATACCCAAGACAAGTGAGGGGGCAGGCAGGGGAGAAGTCTTCCCGATAAGGGATGAGCAGCCCACAAGGCACAGAGCACTCACCCTGGTGCCAGGCACTGGTCTGGCACTTTGCACTTACCTTCCCATGTAGCATATGTGCCGTGGTTACCTTCCTTGTAGGTATGAGCATGCAGGCTCAGGCAACTCGTTACAGGACACACGGGTATTGGGAGCTGGGATTGGAACCATGGAGCCCGCTCGCTAGCCCAAACCTCACTGGCTCCCAAGAATGAGAAGTGGACCCCGGTCCCGTTAGCAGGTTTCCCTCAGCACCAAACCTAGAACAGAGCAGTTACATCTTTCTGTACTTACTCTAGGCTGTGTCCCCTACTCTTGTCTTCCATGGTAGGGAACTTGTGTGAGACTGAATTGAATCCACATGTTCTCACCAGTGTGGGGTTTGGTTCAAAGGAGCATATGGTCAACTGACCGAGAAGCTAGAGCTCTCTCTTCCTGGCGGAGGGGATCACGCAGATTGGTGACATCTTCCCTCAGCCCCTCTTGTTCCGGGTGTAAGGTAGTCGCAGAAGATCCACGTGGATATTGTGGGCACAGCCAAGGCTTCAGTTTACAAAAGCCCGCTGGGACAGTTCCGATTCGTCTAAAAAAAGAACATAAAGGACATTATCAAACCTTATCCCGAGCCACGTTTCTATCCAGCAACCAGACTAGTCAGCTTATAAAATTTTGCAAGTGTTTTAGATGCAGACTCACCTTTTGACAATTTGAAAGAAAAAGAGCATATGGTTTCTATGAACTCCATAGAACTATATTTTCTACATGAGATATTTTTAAGTATAATTGAATTTTCGTAAATATGACAACATTTGGTAACACTTGAGCATGTTTTTGTTCTGTTGTTTATAGCAGCAAAATAATCTATTCCATATCTTTTTTTTTTTTTCAGAAACTTCTAGAACTCAACAACCTTCATTCTCTCATGTCTGTGGTATCAGCATTACAAAGTGCACCCATCTTCAGGCTGACAAAAACCTGGGCTGTAAGTTAATTCCTTTGATTTTGGCTCTCATTTCACTGGTGAAGTTCTTCATTCCTCGAGCCCCCGAAGTCTTTCTCTGACTATCTGCCCCTTGCCAGTCACAGAGGATTACTGTGGGTTCCCTGGGATCCTGTCTTCTTCAGGGACCTGAGCCTCATTTTGGGACGAGGAAGTTGTGAGGATGCCAACATGGCTGGGGCCAGAGCCCCCTCGAGTGGACCTTCCTGGACCCATAACGTCACGTGTGGTGGCTGGGTCAGCGACATGACTTCTGCCCTTCACTTGGCTGGAATTCTTCTCTGACAGGCTCCGAACTGCCCTTGGGAAGGTCTCTGGGCTGATGGTTCGCAGCTGCCCTGGGTTGCTGGCCCTATAGCTATGAGTCTCTCTGGAGAAACCTGTGGCCCTCATGTAGAGAGAAGTGGGGTTTTGTTTTGTTTTTATTCCTGAAGGCCATGGATAATTTCAGCTCAGAGGTGGAGTCTGATAGTTATATAATTGAGTCTGTAGGAAAGTTTTTCTGCTGTAAAAATACTTTAAAAATATCTCAGACCTCTTTATCCTCCTTAGCTTGGCACAGTGCCTGACATGGGGGAAGTAATTGCTATTTCCATAGCTCATTAGCATTCACCTCCTGGCCCGCCTGGTCCAGGGTCTCCCACAGCCACACAGCCCAAGCCTTTCAAGACCTGTTTATGTCCCATGGAACTGAAGGAAACTATATGGAATTGTCAGCTGTGCTTCTGCAACTCATTTCCAAACTTCTTTCTGCCAGTCTGCGGGGCTGGGCTCAGTTTCATACTTGGCTAATTCAGGGACCTTTAAAACACTTAGGGATTATGTTGTAGGTGATCAGAAATGAGCCTTGTTTTTTTAAATTGCTATTTTCCGTAGATCTAGCCCTAGCAAAGTGGAGCGACATGTCTTAGCCTAGAGTCAGAAACTGGGTTTGTGTTCAGCTGCTGTTCAGAGCATGACTTCTGTGGGACTTGTTTCCCTCTATCTACTGAGAGGTTGGCCCAGATGAGTGGTTTTGTGTCAGTGCTTCGTGGAGCCCCAAGGGTTCCATGGAGCTGCCTTGATGGCCACCAGGAGATGGGGAAGAGGAGGAGGGTGCCAAGTAGACACCTTGGCACTGTTTCCACCAGAGCAGCTCTGTTTACATCGGTTTGATGTACTGGGCTCCTGGGTGGATTTCAGGTCAGCAGTGGCTTGGGAGGTTGAAAGCAAGTTTGGAAGCCACTGGTCTCTCCTGCTGTTGCCAGACCTGTGAGTCCCTGAGTCCATCTTTTTTCAGAAGTTGCCTAGAGAGTCTTTTTCAAATGAATTTTCCATTATTTAGATGCTGTTATTTTTTCCTGGGCTACTGGGAGCTATGTGCAGACTCAGAGAGATGAATTATGAATCTCGGCATGCACAAACCTCACTGTCAGCAATGTGGTGACTCTCCATGACCTGCAGAAGCTGTGTAGTTGGTGAGGGCAGAAAGGGGGTCTTGCAAGCCACCTCTCACTCACCTGTCCTGTTGGCCCTAGGACAGTGGTTGGCACAGAGCATTTGGGAAATGGAGGGGGCCCGATTCATCCTTTTTCACCTTCATCCAGATCACCCCAGCCCAGTGGAATCGGCAGCTGCATCTCTTCCTGACACTCTCTCCACACCTGTTGTTACAAGCACACAGCACATCTGCTCTGTGGTTTTGTCGACAGGTCTGCCTCTCCCTTCGGCTGCCTTGTTTCATGATGAGGTCCGATTTTGCTTTGTATCCCTGGTGCCCAGCTGAGTATATGCTTGTTGTTTGAGTTGTATATGTCTACTGTGCTGAATCTTTTCCTTCATTTGCTATCGTTTCTGGCAATGAGGTTAGCCATAGAAGTATTGCCAAAAAGAGCTGTTCCCCTCTCCCCACTTTTCCCTTGACCTGGTATTGGGGAGACCTCCTGGGCCCACAGAGCTGGGAGGAGCAGGGGCAGAGGAGGCACTGCTGTAGCAGCCCAGAGGGTCAGTGCTTGTATAGCCTTCATTTGAAAAAATTATTTATTTTAGAGAGCGAGGAGGAGGTGGGGAGGGCAGAGGGAGAGGGAGAGAGAAACCCCAGCCGACTCTGCGCTGAAGGCAGAGCCTGACGTGGGGCTCTGTCTTGTGACCCTGAGATCGACATGAGCTGAAACCAAGAGTTGGACACTTTAACTCACTGTGCCACCCAGGCGCCCCTGGAGTCGTCATTTTTTAGAGAAAGAAACTGAGGCTCCAAGAGGTGTGGTGGCCTGACGAAGATCCCAGGGCTGGCGAGTGCTGGAGCTGGTGTGATGCAGCCTTGTTCTCCTGGCGTGCACAGTCCGTGTTCTTGGCCAGGGTACTGGATGGCTTGTCGGGGCTTCAGCCCGGTGTTGGAGTCAGGCTGGGCATAGGGCAAGGAGAAAGAGGCACACACACTGGGAAGTGAGGCTGGCACTCGGGCCCTCAGGGATAGGGTGTGACTAGATCCCCGAAACCCTGGATATCTGGGAAACCTGGACAGAAGGGAGTTATGGGTGTGTCAGAGACCTGCCACTTGGTTGCACCATGGATGACCTGCAGCGAGGGCCAGTTGGTCGTTAGCTGTAGGGCAGGGCAGCCCGTTGACCTGTCCATGGCTGCCTGCAGGGTGCCAGCAACTGAGTGACTTGGGATGGGTTGGAGACTGACACTGAGCAGGTGTCAGTCTCCTGACAGGACATCTAGCCCTAGCAAAGTGGAGCGTGGGTGTCTCAGCCCACAGGCTCCCACACAGTAGGCCCTAGTAAATGCTGGCTCACGTGCAAACAGGGAGGGAGTCACCTTCTGCTGGCCTGGAAAAACAGGTGGGGCCTGATTCATCCCAGCACCGGGGCCTCTTAGGAGTACTGGCTGCCTCAAGGCCATGCGACGTGAGCAAGACAGAATAGGTCAATTCTGGTTTCCTGAGTACGCGCTACCGTGCGGCTCTTATTCATTCTACAAATCAAATATTTACCGAATGCTTCCTCCATGCCAGACCTTGAGGCTACGGTCAAGGGCCCCGTCTTTATGGGCTTCTGTGTTGTTCAGAGGAGACAGACACATTATTGAGGGAGGATAAACACGTGTCCTGTCTTGCTGGTATAAGAAGTGATGGATAAACATTTGTTGAGTGTGTGAAGCAGTGAGCGAAGAACTGTCCTATGGGAATGGGAGTGACACTGGAGACCAAGACAGGAGGGTGTGAGAGAGGAGGACTGGGGTCCGCTGGAGCGTGGGGCATCCCGGAAGGCCTTTCTGAGAAGGAAGACTGCACTAAGTTGAGGCCCGAGTGACACGGGGAGCCGGCTGTGCCAGGATGAGGGTACAGGCAGTGTAGAGACCCACAGTGGGAAGAAACTTGGTGCCATCAAGAAACTCAGAGCCAGCGTGGCAGGGGCACTGTGGGCCAGGAGGAAATTGATGCAAGATGCCGTGGATGGGCAGCGGGCCCATTGTGAAGGGCTTACAGCCCAGGACAGGAGTTAGGTTCTGTTTCAAGTGCACGGAGCCGGACATGATCTGGCTTACAGCTGCTTTTCATTTTTTGTTTTTTAAATTACTGTTGCTACTGTGTGGAAAACAAACTGGGCAGGGAGTGCAGGGGGCCAAGATGGGAAATGGGGCCTGGTCAGGAGGTCAGACAGCATCCAGTGAGGTGGTGTTGGTTGGGATGGGGAGGTGGCGGTACACAGGAGAGGAAGAGACTGATAGGGGAGGCATTCTGAAGGCAGACCTGGCCGATTTGTGTGGTGGGATGTCGGAGAGGAGGAAAAGAAAGGAATGAAGAGGATTTCTAGGTTTGGGGCCTGAGCAACTAGGATGATGGTGAAGCCTTTTCTCTGGTCAGGGTGGTCCCAGGAGGAGGCTGACTTACTCATGAGTGACCTGGGGGTATGGAATTCCTGGAGTTTGGGTGAGTCACTCTTTACAGTAATTATAGTCATGTGCTACACACACACACACACACACACACACGCACATGCACACGCGCTCTGCTGGCTGTCTGCATGTTCCTATCATGATTTACTCTTTCCTACTGAATTGATCCAGGCAGTTTGACTCATCTGCAGCAGCAAGGGGAAATCCTAGCCAGTGGGCCAGGTGGCCTGGTCTGCAGGGTGGGGACCTGGAAACGGAACCTCTCCAGACACCTGGGGACACAGGGTCATCAAGCTCTGCAGTTTGGAGAACAGCCACTTTGCAAAGGTCCTGAGAAGGCAGATGTGTAGCATTCACATATTTCGGACTTTCGAGTCTTTTATTCAGGCAGTGCCTCTGCTCCCCGTGTCTGATGTAGTGCCCCAGGGGCCCCCCTCTGATGTTGTTGAGAAGGTGGTGGTAGGCATGGGCTGTCTCTTTCAGGTTTTCCTGAGCCTTGGCTCAGGTGGGAGGCAAGATGGGTGAGGGGGTGAGGAGTTGGAGGGCAGAGGAAACCAACGTTTGCGTCTCCAATTACTCATTCCCCTGTCCTTCCTCATAGCCGTGCCTGCACTGCTTCTCAGAAGGTCCCAGTCATGAACTCTGCTGACATTGTCACCCTCACCTTCCTTTCATTGCCACAACATTAGATACTTCATCACACCCTTCTTGAAAAATCTCCTTCCCTTGGCTTAGTCCTCTTCTGGCTGTTCTGACAACTGGCTCCTCCCTGACCGCTTTTGTTCCTCTCGCCCACTGGATATAAGTGTTCTGTGAGGCTCTGACCCCAATTCCCGCCCTCCCATCTGCTTCCTATCCCTTGGGGACCCGACGGCATGGAGAGCTTCACCATCGCTTCAGAGCCCAGTGGAGGCAGTCTCTGCAGCTCACGCTCAGCCTCCTTCTGCAGCCCTAGACCCTTGTTCCCACGCCTGCTCCGCACAGCCCTCTGCTTGCATGTTCCTTTGACAGCTCACGCTTGGCACATCTGAAATCAAGCTTTGGTTTCCAGGAAGTGATCGTGAGTGCCAGAAGACTCTCTTAGCAGATTGTGT